CCAGCTACCCCTGGAGTACCACCACCCTCTGTGCACTCGATCCCAGGCTGCCCTTGCCCCTCAGGCCTTGCCATGACGATCAAAGATGCCACAAACAAAAATAAAAAACCCTTTCCCATGGTTTTGCACGGACACTGGGGGAACTCTAGTAAAGCTCTCATATTTTGAACCTATAGATATCACAGTAGAGGAAGAACAAGAAGTTGTGAGCTTGGAAAGTGTCCTGAAACACTGGACTTCTAATGTAGCACGTGGATCCACTGGTATTCGGGATGTACACCTGGAACTGAAGGATTTAACACTTTTTGCCCAGAAGGGAGCCTGCACTTGATTGATTTCCAAACCAAAACCTGTCTACTTTTTTTAAAAATATATTTTATTGATTTTTTACAGAGAGGAAGGGAGAGGGATAGAGAGTTAGAAACATCGATGGGAGAGAAACATCGATCAGCTGCCTCCTCCACACTCTCCACTGGGGATGTGCCCACAACCAAGGTACATGCCCTTAACCGGAATCGAACCTGGGACCTTTCAGTCTGCAGGCCGACGCTCTATCCACTGAGCCAAACCAGTTAGGGCAGGACCTGTCTACTTTTATCCAAATGGGAGGGGGAAACTTCTCAACATTACACCTGGTGCAATGTGCTACAGGAGGTGGTGCTCACGCCTGCACAGACTGGATGAACTTGACCGTCTTGCAAAGGGCCTGCTGTGTAAAGATTCTGCCAGAAGTGCTATACACATAATATAGCAGGCACTGTACAGATAGCAGCAGAGTGCTCTTACTGTGCTAGTGCCTCAGAACCTGAGCGATGCCAAAAGATGCCTTCGTGGACACTGGCTCGGACCCAGTGTTTTAGCAGTCCTTTCCGAAGACAACTATAAACGAGGCACTGGGACAAGCCTTGGAGGGGGTACCTTTCTGGGCTTATGCGGTTTATTGGCTGGCTGTGAACATTTTAAAGAGGCTCGTGAAATAGCATCCAAAGGTGACAGCACCCATTCTGCAGAGTGCTCTTACTGTGCTAGTACCTCAGAACCTGAGCGATGCCAAAAGATGCCTTCGTGGACACTGGCTCGGACCCAGTGTTTTAGCAGTCCTTTCCGAAGACAACTATAAACGAGGCACTGGGACAAGCCTTGGAGGGGGTACCTTTCTGGGCTTATGCGGTTTATTGGCTGGCTGTGAACATTTTAAAGAGGCTCGTGAAATAGCATCCAAAGGTGACAGCACCCATTCTGACAGCTGACAAGCTGAGATATGCAGGAGACTGTGGGAGATTTGGCCTGCTGGGCTGGGCTGTAGCATCTGGTTTTGGCAATATGATTGGCAATATGATTTATAAGGGGAAGCAAGGATCTGTTAGTAAAGAAGATCTAGCAAGAGCTACTTTCGTTACTATCACCAGTAACATTTGTTGTGTGGCCGGAACGTGTGCTGTTCATTGGGCAAATAAACAGAGCTGTCACTGTGGGAAACTTTTTATGAGCCAATACTCTCTCAATGAAACTTTTGGCATATCCACTGGATTACTGGTCAGAAGGTCAACTGAAAGCATTGTTCCTAGCGCATGGGGTGCTTTGGAGCAGTTGGTGTACTTCTTGGGCTGCCAAATTTCAGCTAAAGCATCAGGTTTCTCTCTGCTAATAAATGTCATTCAAGAGGAACTGAAAACCACAGGCTTTATCACTGCATTATTTGTCACTGGGAACTAAAGGATAAAAGAGTAGGATTATGCCTGCTGATTTTTAAATGTCAAAATAGTAAGATGCTAAATGTTGCCATATTAACAGCGAGAACTTGGTAACAGGTGAAATATTTCTAACTGAAATGCTGTCCCTTCTGTATATAGCCAGTGTTAAATCCTTAAATGCAATCGCTTCTCGGCCTTTTGGCTAAGATCAAGTGTAAATCCTTAAATGCAAAACAGCCTCTAATTGTTGAGCTTTCTCACACATACAAAGAGGGGGAAAAAAGAAATGTCAGTTTTAATCCACAGGGACATGTCCCATATTGGGCCTGGATGTGCTACTCAAATAATCAAAAACCAGTGGCCAGCCCTAACTGTTTTGGCTCAGTGGATAGAGCATTGGTCTGTGGACTGAAGGGTCCCAGGTTCAATTCTGGTCAAGGGCACATGCTTGGGGTTGTGGCTCAATCCCCAGTAGGGGGCATACAGGAGGCAGCTGATCCATGATTCTCTCTCATTATTGATGTTTCTCTCTCTCTCCCTTTCCCTTCCTCTCTGAAATCAATTTTTTAAAAAAGTGGCCAAAGGAGTTGACTAGACCATTACCTCAGCCCAGGAATCCATATAATCATGTCCTGTTATAACTCTACCATCCCGGTATGTGCTGCAAGTGCCAGGGTCATCCTCGTGTGTGGTGTGTCCCCTGAGGCTGAGTGTCTGGTAGCTGCTCCTTGAAGCCCTTTGGAAATAACAGGAAAGAGCCACCTCTGAACCACATCAGTTCTGAAGACAGAGGACGGTGCCTCCTGGGTTCCAGGACCTTTGGGTGCCCCCAACCTAGGCAAGCTCCATTCATATAACCACCACCTCCTGATGACAGACACTCCTGTCTAGCTGAGTTCCATCAATCTTGTATTTGCCTTTGCAACTTAACAATGAAGCTCAAATTTGCCAGTTGAATAGGATACAATCCAATCTCTGGTAGGAGTTTCTGAAGCCGAAGGAGGTGGTCTTTCTGGAGGCCTTTCTGTTTCAAGTAAAATCCAAATGAGTGACCGGCAATGGAAGCTCACCACTGGGCAGTCTCAGGAGGACCAGAGCTGAGAAAGCCAGAGACCAGTCCCATCTCCCCAACCCTCACCCCAGACAACTACGAACAAGCTGTTCTTGTTTTTCACTTCTGGTAGTAACCTCTTTAAATAAATAGATGAAAGATAGATAGACAGACAGATAGATAGACAGACAGACAGATAATAGATATAGATAGATAGATAGATAGATAGATGATAGATAGATAGATAGATAGATAGATAGATAGATAGATAGATAGATGAATAGATGATAGGGTATATGGAAGGATGGACAAATAGACAACTGATACATAAATATAGATACCATTTTTTATTTTTCTATAGACATTATCTGTTGACTCTATACAAACGAAAATTTAGTTGTCTGATGTTTGACAACTGTATCATTATTTTAGTTCTACTCAAGATGTTGTACTTGGGATCAATCATTTCTCTTGCTTGAGTTGACGGGAGAGAGCAGAGAGGAGCCTTGGTTCCAATGACATTCTACAACTGCCATGCCCACTTTAGATGGATCACGTCCAGTTCTCCTGCTGCCTACAGAATTCTTTCTACAGAAAAAACAACTTTCTCTTGCTTAAGACTACTGTCACTTGAGGGCTTCTCTATTATTTCCACTTGTAGCTGATCCTAACTGATAGATCCCTGCTCTTAGGGCTCAATGCAAATTGAGCCTGGCCCCGCCCCTCTCTGACTGAACCTCCCACTGCAATACCACAGTCCTCTTGTTTACCACACTATCCACCCAAGCTTCCATTCTGTCCTGTACTATTGCACAGATGGTTTCCTCTATCCTCTGATCAACATCCTTCAGATCTCAGGTCAAGTATCACACCCTTAGACTAGCTTCTAAGAGCCCCAGTCTAATGTAGGTCCAATCCCCTGCTGGTATTCCCTCCCATTTTCCCTCTTTGTAGCACTTAATACTATATTTGCCATTTTACAAGTATTGGTGTGTTTGTTTCACCTAGACTGTAAGCTCCATGAAGGAGGAGTATATGTCTGTTTTGTTCACTATTATGTACCCAGGACATATACTAATCACATATAATAGATCTGTATTAGTGAAAAGATATTTTTTAAATGAGGGCCTGGCTCAGAGGTTGAGCATCGACCCATGATCCAGGAGGTCATGGTTCGATTCCTTGTCAGGGCACGCCTGGATTGTGAACTTGATGCCCAGTAGCGGACATGCAGGAGGCAGTCAATCAATGATTCTCTCTCATCATTGATGTTTCTATCTCCCCCTCTCCCTTCTTCTCTCCGAAATCAATTTTTAAAATATATGTTTTTTTAAAAGAGGCATCTCCATGGCCCATGGCCACAAACAATGGGGCGGTGAAGGCCTGGGGTGGTGGGTGGGAAGGGCTGGAGGGGGACAGTGGGGGGAAAAGGGGGACATACTTAATATTTTCAATAAAGAATTATTTTAAAAAATAAATAAAATATAAAAGAGGCATTCTCAGTTCAGAGAGGTTAAGCAACAAGTTTAAGTTCACATGGCTAGTAAAGCTGGATTTGAACTGAGGTTTGTCTGATTTGTTCTATGCTCATCAAACAACTTTCTCATAATGCGGCTTCCCTTAAACTTTCCCTCTCAGAAGAAAAAGGGAAGAATGTACTTGTCAGGTAAACACTAGTGTCAGCTTCCTGGATGGTTAAAATTTCTCATTAAAAATTAGCAAGGTGGTGGGGTTTGGGTGTACAATTTCCATTTTCTTGTAAGTTAGTCATCAATGAGACAGCCTCTCTGAATTTGATCAGCTCAGGGGTACCTACAGCATGAGTTGCAAAATGGAGAACTCGACCCTGCCCCATGCTACACTGTTGATCTGCTAGTAATCAGAATCCATACTCAACATAGCCCAGGGAATGTGAGGCAGAATAAGAGCAGGAAAAGAAGAGTTATACCCAGAAGAAACTGTATGAACTAGATACATTGTCAGAAAATAAAGGAAAACTTTATGGGAACTCCTTTAAGGCTATTTGACCAAGGTAGCAGAACATAATTTTGGTGCAGGTTATATTTTATATTTGTTTATATGTTCACTCACCAGAGATTCTGCATTCAAAGTAGAAGCTCAGTCAGTCAGGTACACTGCTTACCAGGTTTTTTGGGGTGGTGGGGGTTGTTGAATAATACAAATCTAAACCAAATGTTGACTATGCAAAATTAAATGAAAAGACCAAAAATCCAAAAAAGGCAGGAACTCACAGATTTCAGGAGACAAGAATGCTTTATTGGGTCCTTGGCATGCATCCAGTCCATCCACCCTCTCACTATCCTCTGGCAGGACCCGCGGGTCTCGCTCCTTGCCACGAGAAATTAACTGGCGAGGCTCTGCTGGCTTTCTTCTCCAGGCCTGGGAGCTGCTGTGAAAATGAGCTCCTGGTCTCAGCAGCAGAGACAGGGGGAAGGAACAAAGTAGGGAGTCATCGTAAGGCACACAGGCATGAAAACCAGACCTCTAGCTGTGGCTAATCAATCACTAGGTCCCGGGAATGAAAAAGACCAGGCATCCCCTAAGATAGTCCCTAGTTACTGCTATGACTGAAGACTTCTGGGTGGGAAAACAGGTCTTTCTCAAGATGCCAAGGTAGAGTCAAAATCTCTTAATTTCCAGACCTTCAATGGAGAGGAAGTCAATTATCTTTGAAGAGAAACCTTACTTTAGCACTTAGGAAATACTGTAACCCTTCCTTGCAGACTTCCCAGAGGGATCTGTTTGGGCCTTTGTCTGGGGACTATAGAAGGAGAGGGTAAACACCCAAACCTGGGAAGAGGACACTGTAGGACACTGGCTCCAAGCTTTCCCATTGTTTCTGGGAACAATGGAAAAGCATGCGGTCTGCCAATCAATGAGGGTCATTTACAGATCAAATTTTATGCTATAGTGAAATCCCAAAGCCAACCAGGGGTTGAGTGTATAGTTGAAATGGACATATTATAGGTATAAACCTCACAATGGCTCTCTGGTTTGTGGGGTAGGAGTGACTGTAGTAGGACAAGTGCAAGCCATTAGAATTTGCCCTCTCTAGCAAAATGGTAAATCAAAAGTAATACCATATTCCTGGGGCAACTGTAAACAGTAGTGTTACTACCGAAGTCTTGAGAGTGAAGTCACAGTGATTCCTACCACAGTTCAGCTTGGCCAGTGCAAGACACCAGGAGGTCTTTGTCTGCTGTAAACGTCCCAAAGTGATGACTCCAATTGCAGGTGCTGCTTCAGAGTGGTCTTCTTGCTAAAGCAAATTCATCCAGCTCCTGGCATTCGGTACAAATCCTCTGATCTAGTAAACTCATTTTTCCCCTCTATTTTGATGAACAGAGAACATCAGAAGCATGCCATCTTCATCTGGCAGGGCAGCAGTACTCTGTTGCTGTCCTGGCTTCCACATATAGAATGTCTTATCTGTCTAGCACTGTGCCACCACCAGGCTCAAGGGACCTTGACCTCATCACCACTAAGTTCCATCACACTGACACAGCATCTCCAGTTTCCCTAGAAGCCTTGGTAAGGCATTTGTGAGTCAGAGGTGGGAGATAAACCAGATTAAAATGCAAAGGCCTAACACCCTGATAAGTTCCTGGGGGCCAAGAGGTTGAGATCAGAATATTCTTCCATAATGTGGAACAAATTATTGTACTTTGAATACCTTACCACTAAGACCCAATTCTAGTAAAAAAAAAAAAAAAAAAAAAAGCCACTCTGGGGCATCTTGCTCCAATCTGCTTACTAATTGACCTAGAAAGGCTACCAGCTTTGAGTTGGGCCTAGAGCAAATGAAGGCTCTCCGGCTGGGAAAGCCTTTAGTAGAAAGGGTTCTGCCACCAGTGGCAGATTCCATGATGTATGAGGTGCCTGTCTGTCTGAAGCATGCTGGGGAGCCATTGACAGCCTGAGACGGAGCAGAATGCTATATGAAGCTTGTGGCAAGTACTGACTAGAAAAATACAGCAGGGCAACCCAGGGTTTGGAAAAAAGTGATGCGCTGGACAAAAATGATCACCTTTCTGAGACATGGCCCTCCGGCTTGCCTCTGAGAGAGCCTAAATGCTTGGCTATAGCATCCAGGTGGCTAGGCTACCCCTGTGCACTGGGGTCATTTGATCCACCCAGCCAGAGTGAGGAATGGCCAGCAGCACCCCATCATAGGGTGGGCACTCCAGAATAGGTCTCTGAAGGCACTGGACAGCCGTGTATGTGGATTGCTCACTCCATCTCCCACAATGCCTCCTCCTGCCCCACTGCTGAGCTCCCCTCAGTCTACACCCATGGCTTTAAGAGGACAGGAATTTGTTTTGCCTGTTATGGACCCTCCTGGGTTTAGATTTGTTTTCCTTACCCATCACCTCCTCTACCACCAATATCCAGGGAATTATGAAATGCTGTAAACATCACCAGAGAATGCACTTTGCAACACAACTAAAGTAATGGGTTGATCCCCATAGTCCAGAAGCAGTTGGCTTGACAGCATAATGAAATGGTTTATTGAAAACTCAGCTATAGCTCCAGCTGAGAAACAATACCTTGAAAGATTGGGTCAGGCCTGCAGCTTATAGCATAAGCTCTGAACTGACAGCCAATTCATGATGCTATTTCTCCTACAGGCTAGGAAGCTGAGAGGAGAGGGTCTGTTATCACTAATCTCAATACTTTTTTCAGATGTGAGGTTTGGGACCAGGCTGGTGTAGAGGTTTTAGTCCCCAAGGAAATACCTCCTCAAAAAGTCATAGTAAGGATTCTATCTGGCCACTTCAGACTCCTATACCTCTGAGCAGCACACAAAAGGTTGTGGGAGTAGCTAGTATGATTAACTCTATTAAGGAAAAGTATGCTTGCTGCTACGGGAAAGGGGCACAGATGGACATGGGGATTCCTAGAGCGTTCCTAGTACTTCCCTATCCAGTGGTTAATGCCTGCGACCCGGCAGGACCACTAAGGAGCTGGATTTCAGAACTGAAGACCTAGGTCACTACGACAGGCAAAAATCCCGTCACAAACACTAGTTCCCATGACCTGGTAGAGAAATGGATGGTAGCCTTTACCCATACTTACTTTCTTGCTAGGTTATATTATTTTGGTTGAAGATGGTTAATTTTACCAGTTAATTCACAGGTTGCAAGATTTCAAAATGGGATTGTGATAAAAGAGGGTGGAGTATTACTAGTGACACTGGACTTTGGAGAATGGTACCTTAGTCATTGCCCGTGGATTCAGTCATTGGATGTGACCCTGAATGGTCTCCCTAAGCAGGGAGAAATTTGCGTTTGGTTGTATGTGGAAGAGTCGTAATACATCAGATGGGAAGAACAGTGTGTGTGTGTGTTGGGGTATCATTTGTCGTCGCCCACCAAGCCTTTTCTACCCTCCCACGCTCCACCATTCTTCTGGTGAGAATCCCCATCCTCTGGAAACTGCCCTCCTCCCATTCCATGAGCCCCGTGCCAGGAATGTGAACGTTGGAGGGAGACCCACTGGGACCAATGGCTGGATGGTGTCCACCTGACAACAGCAGTAGCTCCTGGGAGGCAAGCTCTGGAGCTACCTGGCTCCCTGCTTCTCAAGGCTAACTGTCCAGCTATTCCTCTGTGAGCTACCCCAACACTCTTCTCGTGAACCTTTTTTTCTTTAAGTTGATCCAAGTCCATTTCTGTTGCTCAAAAATCCAAGAAACCTAATGGAAAGGGTCTCTTCTGAGACTACATCGTGCGTCTTTGATCCCCAACAACTGTCAGTTCAGAGTCTGGCATAAAGTAGGGAGGTGCTCACTATATGTCTGCTGAATGAATGGATAAGTAAATGAATAGAAAATATTCCAGCTCTAGTTCACCAGGCCAACGGGGATAGGCAGGTGGGAGAGTTGGGGCACAATGGGGCAAGAGGGAAAAGTGGGGAAAGTCATAGGAGGAGATAGAGAAGTCAGAAATGTCAGCACGGAGAGGGCAAACATCAGGCAAGGAAAATCCCCAACCACAGAGGGAAGAGAATGGGTTGGGGATGGGCTGGGAATGAGAAGCCTTCTGCTGCTTGGGAGGCAGGAAGTGGTCAGAGTGGCTGGGAGGCAGACGCTGGCTGGCGCCGGAGCTGGTTTGGCTGCAGTGGAAGAAGCCAGAAACAGTGGCGTTTCCCGAGTCCCCAGCTCTGCTTTACCCTCTCGGGTTCCTTCTTCGTGTTCCTCTCCCAAATGAAGGAGCAATTCCAATCTGCCCTCAAGTTCATAGACACCCTGCTAAGGAGCACGAGCCATCAGCCCACTTGTATAAGCAGCATGGACTGTCTAGCTGTGGCCACAGAAGGCTGAGACTAAATGTCAATCCAAGAGCCAAAACATGGATCCATTTTTCCAGTCGGCCCAGGGAGAACCTGCCTGGGGAGAGGGGACCCTGAGTCCATATACCTACAACCACACGAGATGAGGGAGAGCAGGAAACACAGTTGCTGCCTTTATTGCATTCCAAGGGGAGCAGGCTAGCTCCAGACCCACCCCATCGGGGGCTTCCAGGTTGGGCTCTCAGGAAGGACACGGGGTGCTGGGCTGAGCACAGCAATTCCTTGGGAGCCCATATATGAGGTCCCGGAGCTGGAGCTTCAGCATCAAGAGCTAATGGTTGGGGGTGGGGGTCCTAAGTCCCAGGCACAGAGGCAGTCCTCACAGCAGGTAGATGGTTTATATCCTTCCTAAAACCCCCATGCCATTTCCCCGTGGAGAAGAGTCCCAGCTCTCCATCCCCAGCCAGGAGGGGAGGTGAAATTCACCTTCATCTCCTTCAATAGGGAGCACAAGGCCCACAAAGTCCACACTTTCCCTCTGGCCACAGCTGCTGACACAGCCCCTGTACCAGTTCTCACCTCACAGGCAGAGGGCCTGGGAAAAGTAGGGGAGGAGTGGATGGGGTAGACCAGAGGCCAGAGGGTCTGCTCATTACCAGGGTCCTGGTGGGTAGGGGGTAGGTCAGGCTAGAAAAGCCATCAGGCAAGGGGACAAGCAGAGTCAGTGCAGGGCGGGCAGCAGGCTGCAACTGCGCTCAAAGCCAGGGATGGTGGATGGGGTGCAAGAAAGCACGGGAAACAGGCAAGTGAGTGCCTGAGTGAAGGGGGAAGAAAGCAAGAACACGTGCCACCAAAGACCACCGCATAGGACTGAAGAGGCCCAATGGGCACAGGGACAGGTTAGTTGCAGGGTAAGCTGGGATGAATGAGGCAAAGTAGTCTGAAAGAGAAGACACCCTGAGAGTCACACGGCAGAGGAAGCCTAGAGCCCTGAGGTCAGGGAGAGATCAGGGTCGAGCAAAGGGCGGAGGGGAAGTGCTGGCCTGCATGGCAGGGTCTGGCTGGGGCAAGGGGTCAGGGTGCAGAACTCATGCAGAGGACTCAGGGAGCCTCCAGCAGTGGCCAGTGTAAACTTCAAGGAGGGCCTCAGCCCTTGGGAAACTTGGAGGTGAGGCCTGGGAGCCCTGGTGACATGGCACCAGGAGAGGCCACTGGGCTGTGTGCCGTGCACCAAAGCCGTCTGATGCGGAGCTGACTGAGGAGAGGCTGCGCAGAGGCCCCACGTGGTGCCTGCTCGGTGCACCTTCTCCGGTTTGTCTGTATCGGGAACGTCTCCATCGGTTCAAGCTGCTTCCTTGTTGGTCTGCTGCTGGGTGGAGGCCCCCAGCCTCCTGTAGGGGCTACCGCGTGCCCTGGGCCTTGGAGCCCCCCTCTTGGCTGGGAGGCTGTCCCAATAACTGAGTGGCGACTGCTCCTGAGGCCTGAGGAGTGGCTTTGGAGCTTGGGGTGCTCTTCCGGGAGCCCTGGGGACTGGGGAGGCCTTTCTTCTGGGGCTGAGGACTCAGTTGGGGGCCCTTCCTGCCGGCAGATGGACTCTTGGAGCCTTTGGCCTTGACTTGGGAGTGGGCAGCCTCAGGGCCTTTGAGAGGTTTCAGCCCCAGCATCTCACAGAAGGTGTTGCACTTGTGGGAGGAAGCAAACTGGTCCAGCAGGGCAGGGAAACAGCTCTCCTTGAGGCCTTGGTATCTGAAGCCAAACAGTAAGAGCTGAGTGGGAGACCCACCCAGACTGAGGGTCCTTGAGGGGCTGGCTTTGGGATGGCCATGGCCAGGGTGTTGTGGCCAAGGTACATATACCCTACTGGTCAGTACTGGGGAGTCTACCTGGTACTACCTCAGGTGGCAGATCTAAAACCTCAATTCTAAACTGAGGTCTCATTATGCCCTGGCACATGGAATTCATCATGTGGGACACTAACTGTTGTGAAGACGATCTGCCTTTTTAATATAAATTAGAGCAGTCTCTAGGGCATCACTCTGCTCACGGGCCCTTGCTCATCTGTGTCATGATGAGCTTTCTCGAGTGAGAAGGAAGAGGAGCAGGTACAGTCAGAGCCCAGAATTGCAGGTGGCCCTGTGTGTGGGCGTCAGGAGCTGCTGGTCCCAGTCTGGGGCAGGGGCACAGCATGTGGGGATTGGCAACCCCTGGGGTGTTACTACATGGCCAGGGGTGCAACTAGGACCATGTGACCATAGGCCTAGCACCTCAGGGATGAGGAACCAGGAGAACTTTGACATGTTAGACCCTAAGAAGACTCTCAGAGGCTTCTGTCCTTGAGAAGTACTCACCCTCGCAGCTTGGTGGCAATCTGCACATCAGTCATCTTCCAGTCAACCCCTGGAAAGAAAGTTGGAAGCTGAGTTCTGGCAGCGAGGGCTGGTTCTAGGCCCTCGTGTCTCCAAGATGGAAACTTGCCAGGTTTCAGGGCACATCTTAAGGCATCCTGTCAGTGGGTCATCACCACAGGCCTATCTCACAGGCAGCGTGGTGTATTTCTGTATTAGTAGTAGTAATAACATTCCCGTTTTTACAGGTGAGGAGCTAGGCTCAGAGTTAAGTGACTCAAGCAAAGTCTCATTCATTCATTCATTCATTCATTCCGTAACTGAGCATTTTCAAACAGTCTGATAGTATTCTTGAAACCTGCCTCTCGCTAAGGCTGAGTACCATAGGCAGCATAAATGTGGGCTTGAGAGTCAAGACGGACCTGGATTTACATTTCAGCTCTGTCACTTGAGCTGTTTGAACTTGGCAAGTCACTCACTATCTCCATGTAGATGAGGTATTGAGGAAATCAGAACATATAGGACTCCAATTTAGTGTCTGAAACACAGTAGTTATGCAATAAATATTAATTCTGTGATGTCTCAGCATTTACCACATTCCATTTTGTATTATAATAATGATGCTCCCTTACACCTGCACAGAATTTTAGTTTGCAGAAGGCTTTCACAAAGATGGTCTCAGTTAATTGTAACAAATTAACAGGGACAATATTATTATTCCGAGAGAGAGAAAGGAAACTGCAGCTCAGAGAGATTAAATGACGAAACTTGTCTGAGCTTCAGTTTTCTTCTCTGTAGAACATAGACCCAGCTAGAAAACAATGAGGTCTAGACTTAAATCTAATTTCTTTAACTCTCAAGTCTTTCTACTACATGATGTTACTCATTATAGAAATTGTATACTGATCACAGCTTCTTAAGGACAATGACCATTCCTAATTCACCTTTTACCTTTCCAACACTTGGTAAAGTTAAATGGATGGATGGATGGAAGGAAGGATCAATTCAGAGTTTACAAATACAGTGAATGACAATGGCTAAATGTGCTACTAGCCTCCCCACCCCTAAATATATGGAGTTATAAAAACGGTATTTATTATACAGTTTAACCTCACTGAAAGGCACATTTGAGCCCGTTTTCTCTCTGGCCTTTGGTTTCCTCACTTATTTACACCAGGGGCTATATGTAACAATGTGTGATATTCCCAGCATTCCTCTCTAACCACTGTAGAGAGAGTTTTATCTTTTCCTCTTTCCTGCCCAGTTGTGTAAAGAGAGTAGGCCTGGAGAGGATGGTCAGAGAAGGAGGGAGGATTCATGCTTGCTGGCCTTCCTTTGCTGGGGAAGAATCTGAGTAATGGGAGAAACAGGAAGAAGCCAGAGAGATTATGTTGGTTACATTAAAAGAAAGCTAAAGAGGATGGGGGAGGAGGAAAGGGAGGCAGGGGACAGTAAAGCTCCGCTGCTGGGGTGGAAGCGAGTTTGGGTAGTACGGAGAGTGAAAGTCCAGAGCAAAGCTGCAGGGAAGGGAGGAAGGGAGATTTTGAAAAGATGGTTGTGGGTTTTGAATTAGAGCCCATGTAACTTTTTTTAAACAAATTCTTTTAAAATTTTAAGTGGAGCCTGGAGTGCATGCCTTTAAATACAACCGTGATTACAGACGGGGCTACAGGAGGCCCTGGTATGTATTAAGCTTGCCTGTCTGATTTACTTCACCAGGTTATTGCCAACAGCAAAGGAAAGTGAGAAAGTGGGCTGTAGACTAGTACACAAGCCCCCTCCTCTGACCCTGGGCCTGCTCTCACACACGTGCCCATGTACCTTCACACCCTCATACCTGCCAGATCTGTGACCAGGAAGCTGCCATTCGTCCACAGATAGAGCCAGTGCTGGAAGGCCTGGCATTTCTGCACGGCCTCCGAGCTGCCTGATGCTGGTGCAGCAGCACAGCCCCATTCCCGGGAACAGTAAGGCTCCAGGGGCTTGCCCAAATCTTCCTCCAGCGTAGCATATGGGATATTGTTTGCAGGCCGGTAGATCAGATACAGTGGAATGATCCTAAACACAGTTTCACCTGCAGTGAGCAGGAAGTAGGGTGGCAGAAAGCTCCCACCTCCATCTCAACTGGATCTAAAAGGAAGACCCTTCCAAGAAAGAAGTCCCAGCTCTGAGCCTGGGGGGCAACAAGGGAGGGGAGCTCTGCCCTGAGTTCAGGAAAGGAAATGGAGGCATTGACTTCTGGGTCCTCTCTATTCTCTGAGGTCAGAGGGAGTAGAACTGAACCACGCTATGGACACAGGAGGACTCTGTGCTTAAGGGAGGAACTGAGACCAGCATGTGTCAGAAAGGAACCCCTCCTGAGAAGATTCAACCAGACTGTGGCTCAATGTCAGCTAGACCCCAATATTCAAGAGTAGGCGAGTGAAAATAATTACCTTTTAGAGCTGACTCCTACAAACCCACACGACTCTGCCGGCTACCACAGAAGAATCCTGACCAGTATGCCTACCACCTTCAGAGAGGCCCAGAACCTGCTATGTTCAAATTTTGCAATTAGCAGAAACTGGACAACGGGATAGGGAACTGGGGTGGCTAAGAGGAGACTGAAGACAAGAGCAGAGGCTTTCCTAAAGCAGGCAGTGAATCCTGGGGTCTCTATTTATAGATTTTGTAGGACCATCAAGCTGAGCACAGGGTTGGTTGTGGGCCCATCTGAACGTGGCCATAACTCAGGATGCCCCTGAGAAGCTGTGAAATCACTACACACCCCCTCCTTGTGCACTTACTCAGGCACCTCCCCAAAGCCAGGTGCAGCCCGGGCTTCAGCTGCAAAGATTTTGCAGTACTCCCGACTCATGTTCTGAATCTTGCACCCCTGTGGATTACAGAGAACACATCCTGATCAGCAAGGAAGCTCCCTGTCCTCTCATGCCCAGCTCCATGTGGGAAGGCCATCTGCTAGAGGATGCCAGGGGGCCATGGTGATAAGTGCCAGTGCCCCAGGGCCACGCTGTGGACAGCAAGGAGGCCGCTGAATGGGCACAACACAGACCACCCACCCAGTCACTCCCTTCTTATCTCTCATATAAGGCTTCTGTGTAAGGTGTATCTGGTGGCAGTGGGAAAGGATTCTGCTGCAAAAATCTAGTTTGAAAACTAAGGCCCCAAAGATGTAACTTCAGGCTACACCTCAGGCTCTCAAAGGTCATCCCAGGACCCTCACAGGTTGCGGCTGAGATGGCTTCTGCCTCTGTACTGGGCTTTCCAACAGGACCGGGGCTGGGAAAAGGGAGGAGGGGAGAGAATGCAGGACGGCCGTGGGAATGGGACACAGTACCTGAATGGTGACATCGTAGTTTCTGCCCAGGAGAGAAGTCTCACTGCTGGGCCCAAACACCAGCGGGCTGGACACCTTGATGACACACGTGCGGCCCGACTCAAAGATAGGCTCCAGCCCGTAGATGACCTTGGCCTGGGAGGCCTTCCGAAGGCTGTACCTATGTCCACCCCCTCGTAGATCCTCGCTCACCAGGCGCCCAAAGAGCTTGTCCCCCCAGCAGCCGGAGTCAGCCAGACCCTTAGCAAACACCATGGGAGTCATTTCAATCTCTTCTCCAACTGAAGGGAAACAGGAAAAACGTGGAAACTACAAGCTCCTGCCTCATAGATGTGGGGTCTATAGGGCAGGAAAAGGCTGGAACGGTCTCCCACCCGCCACCCGGTGTGCTCACTCTCTGTCCATTATTGCTCTTTGGTGTACACTGTGGGTCCCCTACCAGACTGTGAGCTCCTGAGGGCAGAAACTGTATCTGATACATGCCTGTCGTGTAAGTGCTCAAGAGTGCCCATCACATAGTAAGAACATGGTTAGTGGTGTGGAAGGCAGGGGTTTTCTGTGGAAGTGGCAATCTATAATAAAAGCGTGATATGCTAATTAGACCAGATGTCCTTCCGGACATCCTTCTGGACAACCCTCTGGACGAAGCCAGGGAAGCCCGGTCCTGGGTGCCTGCCAGCGGTTGGAGGGAAGCCCAGGTTCCAGGTGCCAGAGGGAAGCCAGTGCTAGCAGCCAGCGGAAGAAAGGCCTACTCTTGCATGAATTTCGTGCATCAGGCCTCTAGTCAATACAAAAAACCAGAATTACTTTGTTTTAGAATTAGGTGTTTTGATCAAATGAATAATTGATTCCATCTCAAGCAACATCTTCGACTCTAACAAAAAGTTTTCAGGACCAATCCAGTAGCAGGATACCCCCCTCATGCTCAGATTGTAACCACTAAATACCATTTCCCACTAAAAGGAACCAGAGCTCCCTGAAGAAATGGTTGATTCCAGGCCTAGGGCAGAACATCTACTGGATGGACCTGAATCATCTTGTCAGACCAGAAAAGAAAGAAGCTATTGAAAATGACTGGAGCCTGGCCAGCATGGCTCAGTGGTTGAGCATCGACCTATGAACCAGGAGGTCATGGTTCGATTCCGGTCAGGGCACATGCCCACGTTGTGGGCTCAATCTCCAGTAGGGGGCGTGCAGGAGACAGCCAATCAATGATTCTCTCTCATCATTGATGTTTCTATCACTCTCTCCCTCTCCCTTCCTCTCTGAAATCAATAAAAATATATTTTTAAAAAAGGAAAAGATCACCCTTAACATACATATATATATATACTAGAGGCCTGGTGCACAAATATTTGTGCACTCGGGGGGCGGGGGGGGGGGCGGGCTTCCCTCAGCCCGGCCTGTGCCCTCTCACAGTCTGGGACCCCTTGGGGGATGACCACCTGCTGGCTTAGGCCCATTCCCCAGGGGATCGGGCCTAAGCTGGCAATCAGACATCCCTCTGGCAGCCCAGGAGCCCTCGGGAGATGTCCACTTGCCAGCGGGGAGCAGGCCTAAGCTGCAGTCTGATATCCTTAGTGCTGCTGAGGAGGCGGGAGAGGCTCCCACCACTGCCGCTGTACTAGCAGCCGTCAGCCTTGCTGGTGGCTGAGCAGAGCTCCCCCTGTTGGAGTGCACTGACCACCAGGGGGCATTTCCTGCATTGAATGTCTGCCCTCTGGTGGTCAGTGTGTGTCATAGCGACCAGTCATTCCCAGTCATTCTGCTGTTAGAGTCAGTTTGCATATTACCCTTTTATTATATAGGATATATATGTGTGTGTGTGTGTGTGTGTGTGTGTATTTTTTTTTTAAATAAAACAACTGGAGGTCTGTCAAAAGGACGGAGGAACCAACCTTCTGAAGGGGCTTCCACTCGCCAAAATTAGACAATCTTACCAACAAAAATGAATAATTTCTGCAATGTATTAAACATATCAAATATATCAAAAATCCCTATGTTCACAATTACAACTGAACCCTCTCCCCCTGCACCAAACAAACACAAAACAAGTCTTTTTGGTGACCTTTGGAGGATGCCAGGGCACCAACTCAGGGTAACCAAATAACCATTTCTCCTTTACAGAAGTAAAATAATTAATGAATGAAAAGGAAATGATAGAATTAAAACACTCCATGTTGCAAACTCTAATGAAGTAAAGAATTTAGACAATAATCAGTGACTATTAAAACCCCTAGATAACAACATGGGTGTATCAGATACAGTTTTTTAACTTTTAAAGGGGATGGATCACGCAGAAAACACCTGAATGGACCCAGTAATCAATCTTAACGTTACTAAAAGTAAAACAATCAGTTGTTATGTGAGTCCAGATAAAATGCAAAAGAAAACACACTGCACACGTGTGAAGTGGCCTTGCCAAAACAATTATACGTGACTCTGACCAAGCCTCTCGATCTTTTAGAGAAGCACATGGATGGAGCAACATGTTCAATGATTTTATAACCAACAAAATCTAGAGTGTAAGAATTCTACACAGCACATGGCTTCAACAAATAAATAACAAAGAGGGCCCGGCTGGTGTGGTTGAGCTTCAACCTATGAACCAGGGGGTCACAGTTTGATTCCTGGTCAGGGCATATCACCTGAGTTGCAAGCTCAATCTCCAGTGAGGGGAGTGCAGGAGGCAGCCAATCAATGATTCTCTCTCACCATTGCTATATCTCTCTCTCCCTTCCTCTCTGGAATCAATAAAAATATTTAAACAAATAAATAAATAGTAAGGAGAGAAAAAAATTGAGGGTGAAAGAACTTACATATCTGACAGACTTATGAGATATGTCAGCTCAACACAATGAGTGGTTTCTAATTCAAATAAACCAAAACTTGTGAGACAACCAGGAAAATAGGATTGGATATTTGATGATATTAAAGAATTACTACAGGCATACCTCAGAGATACTGCACATTTGACTCTAGACCACTGCGATAAAGCAAGTATTGCAATAAAGGGAATATAATATTTTTGCTGGTAGAGGGTCTTGCCTTCAATTTGTAAAAAATGCAACATCTTTGGAGCACAATAAAGGAAGGTATGCCTGTACTGAGTTTTTAGGTATGAGGTTAGATTTGATATTATTTTTGATTTTATAACTGAACAGAAGCCACTGGTTGAATCAATGAGTGATTAAATGAGTGGATGAATGAAGGAATTAATGTTTTAATTGGCCAATGAAGCTCTAGGAATCTTTCCATCACCAGCAACCTTCACAGTCTAATCCTTAGTATGTCTCTTGCAGGAGCAACACAGACTCTTCCTCTCATGTTTGGACCTTTAGAATGCTTATCAAATGTTGGGGTACATCACAGTCACCAGGGCGCCTACTAGAAATGCAATTTTCCTAGGTCCTTCCCCAGAAACAGTGATTAAGGAGATCTGCAGTGGGACCTAAGAAAGTGCATTTTCACCAGGCTCCCGTGTGAATCTAATGAACAGACCACAGTGAGAAATCCTGGGAAGGGTGCTGGGCAGGGTAAGATGTGCCCTGGAGGCCTGTCCTGCCCTTCGTCAAGCACTCTGACAAAGGCAAAGGGCACAAAGCTGAATTAACTCCTTGTGGAATGGGCCCCCTTAGCCACCTCTGCCTCCATCTTCTGAAATAGCCGTCCTCCTCTCTCCTCCTCCTCCTCAAGCATCTCCTGAACTAGGAGGCAAAGAGTAGCTGTCTGTGAAGGCAAACATGGCATTTGGAACAGATTACAAGTCCTTGGAGAAGGTCCCCCTACAGATGGCAGGGCAGGGATGAAGGCCATCCACTCCTCCCCCAAGGTGCTCCGTACCTTCACCTTCTTCTCTGGAGATGAATCCTGACAACACTGTGTGGAGAAAAAGAAGAGAAAGCAGCTGTCCTCAGATTGGTCTGCCCAGGGAGAGCACCATCTCTGCAGATGACTGCTGCCCCCCCTCAGGAGCGAGGCCAGGCAGACCCGGGGCAAACTCACCCTCGGGGCTGAGGCAGAAGTCAGTAGAGGCCGAGCCGTGCTCATTGTGGATGGTGCATCGGTACATGCCACAGTCCCCAGGGGACGCCTGCACGATGGCCAAGGCCGCCGGCCCCTCGTCCCCTGCACTGCAGAGAGTGGAGACCCTTCCTGTGAGAGCCATCACCACGGCACAGCCAGGGCCAGAAGGAGGTCCTGGGGCTCCTCAGACCCGGCTCTCAGGCTGCTGGGAGCTCTGGGGCAGGCAGCAAGGTACTGTGGTTAAGATCACACAGGTCTGGTTTGCAGTCCTGACACTCACTAGTTGTGTGACTTTGGGCAAGTGACTCAATACCTCTGAGCCTCTATTTTCCCTCTCTACTATGAGAATGATAGAATCTCCTTCGTACAGTTACTGTGAGGGTTAAGTGAGTGACAGACCTAAATGAGGACAATGCCCAACATTATGATTTTATGATTGCTGTAATTAGGGAGCCAGTCAGGGGAGCTAGCCTCCAGACAGCTTACCTCCTGCCCACTTCGCCCACTGGGTGCAGATCCTTGGCCCATGTCAAGACTGAGTCACTAAGAATGTTGAAAAACTGGCACCAGAGCTTCAGGCTGCCCGAGGCATCAGGAAACTGCTCCACTCGAATCTTTCGAATTACCTGTGGGGCTGGGAGCAGGGGACCAGGGAAGAGGACTGAGCTCCTCCCCTCCATCTTGTGCCCTCTCTGGCCCTGTCCCTGCTTCCCTGGGTGTCCCTGCTGGAACAGGCTGAGAGAAAACAGGATTCAAGTCTCCACACACGCCCATTCCTTCACAAGGCCCAGCTGCGCCCCACCTCTATCTCTGAAGCATCTTCCCGGACCCCAAAAACACACATCCTAGCTAGAAAGAACCCACTCTAAAACCCCTTTCACAAGCCAGGGCGAGCCTTCCAGCTGAGGATACAGATAGCAGTTGAAAGAGAAACTTCTGGCCCTGGCCGGTGTAGCTCAGTAGAGAGAGTGTCAGCCGTGCACCAAAGAAAGTGCTGGCGGGTTCAATTCCCAGTCAAGGGCACATACCCGAGTTGCAGGTTCTCCAGCCCCTAGTTGGGGTTCGTATGGGAAGCAACCAATCGATGTGTCTCTCTCACATCGATGTTTGCCTTCCTCTCCTTCTCTATCTCTCTCTTCTTCCCTTTCTCTCTCCCTTCCACTCTAAAAAGCAATGGGGAAAAATATCCTCGGGTGAGAATTAAAGACAAACAAACAAAAGAGGAACTTCCATTTGCATTCCAGGCCCCTAACTCTAGGAACCTGCATTTGAACCCCGTTCCTACCACTCTATACTCATGGGACAAGTCTGGAAAGAGGGGATTATGGTGATGATGATGACAGAGGTAGGATGCTGTGGATGTCAATCTCTGTGCTGAGTACTTAATTTATTCTATTTTATTTAACCCCTTGCAATGTTACAAAGTTGCTTCTATTACCATCTCCAAGTGGCAGAGCCAGGAGGAGAAGAAGGCCTTCCTGATTGCAAAGCCTGTGGGATTAGGAGGCAAGAATATCTTTAGGAGGTCTCTGTAAATCCCTAGCAGGCATGCGCCACCCTAGCAGCTGCAGCGATGTCCTTGGCTGGGCAGCCCTCTCTGTGGAGCCACACCCCAGTCCCCACCACTGCTCACCTTTGAGCAGGTCCTTGGCTTTCCTCGGCTTGCCCGGGGTTTCCTGCTTGCCTTCATCCAAGGTCGGCTCTGCATCCAGCCCACTGGGCTTGGGGCTGGAGCCCAGGTCTCCCGCTGCCTGCTCCTCCTCTGCCTGTGGCACCTCCAGCAGGCCTGCTTTTCGGCCCTGGGTAGGAGAGCGCTTCTCCCGCCCTAGAGTCCCTGGGGACCCAGGTGACAGGCCCTTTCTGGGTCCCCGGGGGGAAACCGTGGGGCTCTCCCTCTCCTCAGGCTTGGTTGCCTCCCCATCCCCTGCTGCTCTGGCCTTTGGGAGAAACCTCTTCCTCCGGGCCCCCAGAGCCAGTTCCTCAGGGGTGGCTGCAGGGAGACCTGCTGGCGCCTCCTGTGGGATCTCCTCCTCTCGGGAGGGATCCTGGACTCTGCTTTCTGCTGAGAGGGGTCCCTGACCAGAGGCTGCCTGCCCACCTGCCTCCCCCAGCAGACCCCCCGCACTGCTCTCCTGAGAGGTTCCCAGGAGGCCAGACCTCGCAAGGGGAACCTCTCCGTCACCCTTACTGGATCCTTCTGAGGTCAGCCCAGGGTCCTCCTCCTCGCCTACCACGATGGCAGGCACGGTGAGGGGGCTGGAGCCAGGGCTCCGGGCAGCAGCCAGGGCCTGCTGGCCAGCCTGCACCTCACGGTCCAGGAGGCCAGTGATGCGGCGGGAGGTACAGGGGCTGAGCAGTAGCATCTGTGCACTCTGCACCAGATGGTCGTTTTCCACACGCTCCAGGATGCGCCGTGATGTCTGCGGACTCAGACCAGCCACTTCCAGAGTGGGGGCCAGCGTGGGTGAGGGTGCCAAACCCCTGGGGGCAGCTGCTTCCTGGGACTTTGTGCCCCCTCTACTCGTCTCTGTGCTGGATAGCTTTAGCAGGAGAAGCAAGTAGTTCTTCAGGGAATCTATGAGACCAGGGTCACAGCTCTGGGTGCCTGAGGGCCTCCCTTCCACATCTGACATCTTGGCGCAGGCTCCCTCATTGCTGGCTGCTATGGTTTCTGGTGGGTGATTCTGGGTGGGGGTCCCAGGCCCCAGGTGCACTGAGGGTGCAGAATTCCGCAAGGCCTGGTCCCCAGAGGGCAAGAAGGCAGCTGCACTCATGTGCTGAGAAGTGGGGGTGCTGGGCAGCCCCTGCGGTGAGCTGTCGGTCAGGCCAGCACCAGCAGGAGAAGGCAGAGTAGGCACATCTGGGCTCAGGCCGGCGGGAGGACAGCCTCCCAGATCCACAGAAAGCACCTCCCCCAGCTGCTCCTTCTTGGGGCACTGGAACAGGCTATCCTCTGGCTTGTCCTTGACCGGGCCTGACCACTCCGGCCCCCAACATCTCCCTCCTCCCGTCTGCTCCAAGCCACTCTCAGGAAGCAGCTGTGCTGGGAGCCTGAGGCCCCCTGACAGGGGACCCAGCACCGTTTCCTCTTGGTTACGAGAGGCCGTTTCTGCTGCCTCTCCAGATCTGAGCATGAAGCCAGGTTTTTCTGGGACAGAGGACCTTTCTGGGCTCTGCTCAAAACATGCAATAATCTGGGAACTGGAACCCTCTGAAGGTGAGGGTTCAGGGGCTCTGGACTGTGGGCTGAGGTTGGTCACTGACTTCTTCTCTGACTGAACTTTAACGGTTGTGGGTACACTCCCCTCTGTCTGTGTCCCCCTACCTTCCTGTATCCTGTCTTCCTGTGTCTTCGCACCTGCCTGTGTCTTTCTGTCTTCCTGTGTCCTTTCCGCCTGTGTCCCTGTCCTTCCCTGTGCTACCACATCCTTCTGGGAACTCCTGTCTGACTCTGTCCTCTCACTTTCTTGTGTCACAATGTCCATCTGTGTCTTCCTGTCTGCCTGTGTCCTCCCGTCCACCTGCATCTTCCCATCCGCCTCTGTATTCTTCATGCCTCCATGTCTCCAGTCAGCATATGTTCTACTCTCCTGGGTTTCTGTATCCATGGGCTCAATGATGCTCTGACTTCTGGGGGTGCTGCCACCAGCAGAGGCTATACCAATGCTGCTGCTGGCCCATACAGTAGGAACCATGGTCGCCTGCGACTCCGGGACCTGAGAACACATGGACAAAAGCAAGAACTTAACTCATGGCCTCAGGATCTGCAATCAGGCATCCCAGCCTCTTCTGACCTTATCCAAACTGCCTTGACGGGAATCCTGCCGCCTGGTTTCTGGGCCCACAGGGGTAGGGAGGCAAAGGCTATGTGACAAAGTGCCAAAGCTGCCCACCCCAACCCCCGATCCCAGAATCTAGACCAGGGAATCCCCAGCACCCAGGTCCAGCCTGGCCCTTCTCCCCTCTCCCTGAAGAAATCCTGCCTTTCCTGAAAGACCCTGCTCATGTGTATCCCACCCGCCCCTGGCCTTTGGAGGGGAGTTGTCCCCCAGGGCTTCTGAGCATTCCTTCTGTCCCTCATGCCCTGGATAGAATTATTATGGGTGAAGTGAGGCTATATATCACCTCACTCTTCACAACAATATGAGCTAGCTTTGTGAAACTCTTTTTGAGACACAGACTGAAAGTGAAGGGATGGAAAAATATCTTTCAGGCAAATGGAAATGAAAAAAAAGCTGGGGTAGCAATACTTATATCGGACAAAATAGACCTCAAAGTGAAGGCCATAACAAGAGATAAGCAGATCCAAGCAACAGCAGCCCCCTGATCACCGCAGCCTCCTGATCACCACAGCCTCCTGATCACCACACCCTCTGTCTGAGGAACAGCAGCTGTACGTGAAGCCTCCCCCCACCAGCCAGAAGAGCCAACACAGCTGTGAACAACACCCACCAGAGGAGCTGCTGCCAACTGAAAAGCAGCTGCTACCACAACCGTCTGAGCAGCAACCACAACCCAAGGAGCCCCTGCCACCCAGGGAGCAGCCACTGAACATCTCAACATCTACATATGTCAGCGAGATCAAACATGGGTAGGCAAAGAAACCCCCAAAGGAAAGAAAAGGAGGACTCGCCAGAAAAGCAGCTAAGTGAGACAGAGGAATGCAACATGACAGAAATAGAATTCAGAATAAGGGTCCTAGCATGCATAAACCGGATGGAGGAAAAAATCAACTACTTATGCAAGAAGCAAGAAGAAACAGATGAAAAAATCAATAACTTATGCAAGACCCAAGAAGAAATGAAGAGCGATATAGCTACAATAAAAAACACCATTGAAAGCATCAACAGTAGACTAGGAGAAGCGGAGGACCGAATTAGTGAATTAGAAGACAAGGAAGCAAAACACACCCAAACTGTACTGCAATTGGAGAAAAAAATTAAAAGACAGGAGGAGAGCCTAAGGGAGCTTTGGGACAACATGAAGCAAAACAACATACGAATAATAGGGGTGCCAGAACAACAGAAAGAGGAACAAGGATTAGAAAACCTATTCGAAGAAATAATATCAGAAAACTTCCCTGAGGTGGGGAAGAAAAAAGTCACACAAGCACAGAGAGTCCCAAACAAGGTGAACCCGAAAAGACCCACACCAAGACACATCATAATTACCATGGCAAGTGTTCAGGACAAAGAGAGAATCTTAAAAGCTGCAAGAGAGAGACGGAAAGTTACATACAAGGGATCTCCCATTAGACTATCAAATGATTTCTCAACAGAAACACATCAGGCCAGAAAAGAATGGACGGAAATCTACAAAGTGATGCAAAGCAAAGGACTGAATCCAAGAATACTCTATCCAGCAAGGCTATCATTCAAATTTGAAGGGGAAATAAGAAGCTTCACAGACAAAAAAAGTCTAAGGGAGTTGATCACCACCAAGCCAGCAATGCAAGAAATGCTAAAGGGACTGGTGTAAAAAGAAGAAATAAAAAGCTCAGAAAGAAAACAGCCACACACAAAAAAAGAAATGGCTACAAACAAGTACCTTTCAATAATGACTTTAAACGTAAACGGACTAAATGCTCCAACCAAAAGACATCGAGTGGCTGAATGGATAAAAAATCATGACCCATACATTTGCTGTCTACAAGAGACCCACCTCATTAAAAGGGACTCACACAGACTGAAAGTGAAGGGATGGAAAAATATCTTCCAGGCAAATGGAAAGGAAAAGAAAGCTGGGGTAGCAATACTTATATCAGACAAAATAGACCTCAAAGTGAAGGCCATAACAAGAGATAAGGAAGGCCACTTCATAATACTAAAGGGATCAATACAACAAGAAGATATAACCCTGGTAAACATTTATGCACCCAATGCAGGAGCATCCAAATACATAAAAAAACTCCTGGAAGATATCAAAGGAGAGATCGACAACAATACAATCATAGTAGGGTACTTTAATACACCACTGACATCACTGGATAAATCCTCTAGACAAACAATCAGCAAAGAAACAGCAACCCTAAATGACTCACTTGATCAGATGGACTTAATTGACATCTTCAGAACACTTCACCCCAAAGCCACGGAATATACATTCTACTCAAGGGCTCATAAGACACATTCAAAAATAGACCACATATTGGGTCACAAACAAAGTCTACCCAAATTCAAGAAGATTGAAATCATACCAAGCATCTTCTCAGATCACGAAGGCATAATATTAGAAATGAACTACAAAAAAAACAACCCAAAATACTCAAACACTTGGAAGCTGAATAGCATGTTATTAAATATTGATTGGGTTACCAATGAGATCAAAGAAGAAATTAAAAGCATCCTGGAAACTAATGACAATGAAAACACAACAATCCAAAACCTATGGGACGCAATGAAAGCAGTCCTGAGAGGGAAGTTTATAGCTCTACAGGCCTATCTCAAAAAGCAAGAAAAAATGGTAGTAAATCATCTAACTCTACAACTCAAAGAATTAGAAAGAGAGCAACAAGAAAACCCCAGAGTGAGCAGAAGGAAGGAGATAATAAAGATTAGAGCAGAAATAAATGACATAGAGACCAAAAAGATAATACAGAAAATCAATGAAACTAAGAGCTGGTTCTTTGAAAGGATAAACAAGATTGACAAACCTCTAGCCAGGCTCACCAAGAAGCAAAGAGAGAGGACCCAAATAAACAAAACCAGAAATGATAGAGGCGAAATAACAACAGACCCCACAGAAATACAAATGATTGTTAAAAAATACTATGGACAGCTCTACTCCAACAAACTAGACAACCTGGAGGAAATGGAGAAATTCCTAGAAAAATACAACATTCCAAAACTCAATCAGGAAGAATCTAAAAATCTCAATAGGCCAATAACTATGGAAGAAATTGAAGCAGTCATCAAAAAGCTTCCAGCAAACAAAAGCCCAGGGCCAGACGGCTTCACAGGGGAGTTTTACCAAACATTCAAGGAAGAACTAAAACCTACCCTCCTCAGACTACTACAAAAAATTCAAGAGGAAGGAACACTTCCAAGCTCATTCTATGAAGCCAGCATCACCCTAATACCAAAACCAGGTAAAGACAACACAATGAAAGAGAATTACAGGCCAATATCCCTCATGAACATAGATGCCAAAATCCTCAACAAAATCTTAGCAAATCGGATCCAGCAGTACATCAGAAGGATCATACACCATGACCAAGTAGGATTTATCCCAGGGATGCAAGGATGGTACAATATACGCAAATCAATAAACGTGATACATCACATAAACAAATTGAAAGAAAAAAACCACATGGTCATATCAATTGATGCAGAAAAAGCATTCGACAAAATCCAACACCCATTTTTGATAAAAACTCTCAGCATGGTGGGAGTAGAAGGATCATACCTCAACATAATAAAAGCCATATATGACAGGCCCACAGCCAACATCATACTCAATGGACAAAAACTAACACCATTTCCCCTAAGAACAGGAACAAGACAAGGATGCCCACTCTCACCACTCCTGTTCAACATAGTCCTGGAAGTATTAGCCATTGCAATTAGACAAGAAGAAGAAATAAAAGGCATCCAAATTGGAAAAGAGGAAGTAAAACTGTCCTTATTTGCAGACAACATGATATTATACATACAAAACCCTAGAGACTCCGTCAAAAAACTACTAGACTTAATACATGAATTTGGCAAAGTAGCAGGATACAAAATTAATGCCAAGAAATCTGAGGCATTTCTATACACCAATAGTGAACTTGCAGAAAGAGAGATTAGAAAAACAATCCCATTTACCATTGCACCAAAAAAATTAAGCTACCTAGGAATAAACTTAACTAAAGAGGTAAAAGACCTCTACTCAGAAAACTACAGGACATTGAAAAAAGAGATAGAGGAAGACATAAACAGATGGAAGAACATACCGTGTTCATGGATTGGTAGAATCAACATCATTAAAATGTCCATACTACCCAAAGCAATCTATAAATTCAACGCACTTCCCATTAAAATACCAACGGCATACTTCACAGATCTAGAACGAACTCTCCAAAAATTCATCTGGAATAAAAAAAGACCCCGAATAGCTGCAGCAATCCTGAGAAAGAACAAAGTAGGTGGGATCTCAATACCAGATATCAAGCTGTATTACAAAGCCACTGTTCTCAAAACTGCCTGGTACTGGCACAAGAACAGACATATAGATCAATGGAATAGAATAGAGACCCCAGAAATCGGCCCGAACCAATATGCTCAATTAATTTTTGACAAAGGAGGCAAGAACATACAATGGAGCCAAGATAGTCTCTTCAATAAATGGTGTTGGGAAAATTGGACAGATATATGCAAGAAAATGAAACTAGACCACCAACTTACACCATACACAAAAATAAACTCAAAATGGATAAAGGACTTAAATGTACGACAGGAAACCATAAAAATTCTAGAAGAATCCAAGGGCAACAAAATCTCAGACATATGCCGAAGCAATTTCTTCACTGATACAGCTCCTAGAGCAGTTGAAACTAAAGAGAAAATGAACAAATGGGACTACATCAAAATAAAAAGCTTCTGCACAACAAAAGAAACCATCAACAAAACAACAAGAAAACCCACTGCGTGGGAAAACATATTTGCCAACGTCATATCTGATAAGGGCCTAATCTCCAAAATTTATAGGGAACTCTTACAACTTAAGAAAAAGAAGA